AGATTCAACTACCGGATGATCGTCAGAGAATTTTTAAAATTAGCATGTTATCGAAATTCTCGAAATACTAAGTTTAAACCTACTACTTTGACAAGTCGTAACATTTGCTACGATTGATCGTTTCACAAGCCATTAACGACATAAAAAACTAGATTGTGAGTATTTTAGAATGATATTAAGAATGTAATGTTTCGATTTCGTTTCACCCCCCTTGTGTCCGCCAGTGAAGAGGACTACATTGACATGCATAAGAAAAGGTAATCAAATCACACATGATGGAAATTAGGTAAGGTTATTTTACTTTTGTATAGAAATTGAAGACATATTTCTCCATTCTTGACTTTAAAAAGTTGGTTTCATACCGCGCCCGTGCCTGCTATATATTTTTATACAGTATTCAATATGAAGATCATGTCTTCTTTTTGTATCCTCGTTAGTATCCACTTTAATAATGGGCTCGAGAAAATTAAAGAAAGCTTCGTGGATGAATTGACTTTGCTCACGTTATAGCCAATGGAACCAACTCCTCAAAGCCCAATCAAAAATAAAAATTAAAAAGTTAATATTTTTCAACTCACATAGTTGTTAAAATTTGGGTGTGACCCGAATTTTTTGTTGAAATAATTGAAGAATTTGAAATATTCTTGGAGTCCTATGTCATATTGAAATTCTATTTTGGAAGCTCATTAGGAGTTAAAATTTGTTTTGGACTCAATTTTATGGTATCATACTTCATCTACAACTCTATTAGGTGGGTTTGGGCATTCCCTATTTATTCCCTATAAATACTAGGCTCTTTTATACAATTTTATGGAGTGAGAAAATAGATTACTAGAATTATAGGATCCATTGTAATTTTCTCTCTTCTTCATTATTCTTGAGTCAATAAAATCTTTTAATTCTTCTGTCATATACTCGTCTTCTTTATTCTTTCATTTGATCAAATATTTCATTATTATTTGCTATATAACTTCAACGTCTCAATCTGATGATTTGTTCCACAACAATTAGTATCAGAGTTATTCTGATGTCTTATTTTAGTTATGACGTTGATTGAGTCAAGTATCTGAACTCAAACAAATTATATCATTAACCGAACAAACAAGAACATATTAAAGACATAATGAAGAAATAAAATTAATATTTGATACCAAGTTGGATTTTTTTTCATAAAAACATGTGCCCAAGTCTTTCGATCTATTCTCTATTGCTTCTAGACACGTAGGTTAATATTTATAAATCATTCAAAGGAAGATTGAATGCATATCTTTAGTGATCTGTCCCTTTTTTGAATTTATGAATTTCGTGAGTTATGGGGGTGCAGCCTCCTAACCTTTTTCTTAAGCGATAAACATATCCTACAAGCGAAGTCCAAATTGGTATTTGTTTAATCATTAAACTATTCTAATATTAACATATAAAGGTTCTTTATCTATAATTAAATCAACTTGTCTATGGACAACTTTTCAAATATGTTATAGTTATTAAAAGCCGAGACCCCAATGAATAGTTATATTGTTTATAGTTATAGCCAATAGTTCGTCTTCTTGATTTGGACTTCCCAAGTATAGACGCTAGACTACAATGTAATCCAATAATTATCATTTTCTAATATATATTTATGATTTCAAAAGTAATATAATCACTATAAAAAACCATATAAGTTATCAATTGTAGTGTCATGGCTCTCGAAAAGGACAATGCATGTATTGCAAAATCGGGTTAAGTCCCCTTGTACGTGTTGGTTTGCGAGGCAGAATGCCAGATGGTAGCACTACATTGGATGATGAACAAAAAATAGATTTAAACATATCAATGCAGTGCTGCCACCTAGTATTCTGTCAAACTATTTGGCAAACTCCTGTACATGTAGCATGATTCCTCAAAATCACCCATGTAAGGCCAATGCTCCCAAATGTGTGACTCTTCTGTCCAAAATTATGATTGTTGTAAAACTTGTGATACTTCTATTTTTAGTGCACAAAACCTCAAGTGTGGCGGTATATAATGGATAAACAAGCATTGCAATCATCTTCACAGCATCAAAATGAGTTTTTGGGAATAATGTATTTGGAAATAGTAATTTTTTTTTTTAAATATGTGATTAAAAAATAAGGAAATTTTTTGAATTTATATGTAATATTATTTTATTTGAGAATGACAATGGCTAAGAGTCTACATCAGTCAGTCTGCCTGTGGTTTCAATTGCCCAGAGTGCAATGCGGTATATTGAAGTAAAGTGTCATGTCATTGCTTAACAGGAATCTAATAGATCAATGTAACGTGTGCACGTTTACAGCTTGAAAGAAAAGAAAATGCCAAATTCTGATGGGATAATTAGATAAATCCTTGCATGTGAATGATCTTCACAATTGATTGCTTCCGCGCGTAATATGCTAAAAGTAAGCCACATAGTGACAGCTATTTTGGCATCTTGACAAACACAATTGAAGTCATCCACCAGGGCCACTGGGGATTAACAATGAAAGTAGACTCTATCCAACTACAAATACTATAGTACAAGAAACATGTAAGTTCTTGAATGCACCTGTTTGCATATGAAATACAATTTATATAAAAGGCATTGAGCCTGATGGCTCGTCTTAGCTTGGACCTTGTTGGCCCTCGCATTTTTTTATACACGGACCATCTTCAATGCACCCTATTTGCGGATGATAAAGCCATTTCGGCCTCTGTTGCATCAGCTTCATCCCTAAACTTCTTGTAGATATCTCCTTTGTAGAATTCTCGGGTTCTGGCCACCAATATCAGAGAAGTAAGAGCTCCAAAGAAAGTGATACTTGCCAAAATAATGAAGGCCAACCGATAACATTGAGTGCCAATGCAAGTCAATTCCTTGACTGATGATCTTGTCATGCCCTTCTTGGCCAAGTCCTTTAGTGCCTCTCTGTCATAAAGGGGTCCTGTAACTTTGACATTCAGTATGTAGGATCCAAGTGGACTAGCCAATTGTCCACAATTAAACAATGTAGAGTAGTATTTCAGGCCAAAAAGCTCAGAAATAATAGCAAAGATCAAAGGCAATTGTGCACCAAATGAGAATCCGATAATTACAGATGAAACATAGACTGAACCAGGGAATGGAAATGCAATGACGAGAAGGCCGATGCACGACAAGAAAAGGACTAGTGTCATCATAAGGGGCCGCGGGAATTTGTACTTGGCGAGAAGACTTTCAGAGACAAATCCTGAGAAAATTCTCCCAAAGTAATTCCATATACTAAGAAGTGACACAAATGATTTTACGGTTTTTGTTGGATATCCTAATGACTCTCCAATCTGTCCCAAGTTGTCCACAGCAGTTAAGCTTGATCCCAGTCCACAAAATGTTGCTAAAAATAGGATGAGCATATCTGTGCTAAGAAGTGCTTGTAAAATAGTGTAATCTTCTCCTCGTTCTGGTTTATTGAAAACGTTCTTGAAACATGACGACGTTTCTGATCTATCTTCTAGCTTTGCAGTTGCAGGTTGAGGTGTGGAATCTGGTGGATTTTCTATGGTTATTTTCGGAGGATTGTTGAGGAATTTCTTTTGGTTCCAAGAAAGTGATTCTTCTCTAATGGCAATAAATAGAGGGACAAAGAGTAAGACACAAACTACAGTAGCACTTCCAGCATATGCTGCCTGTGAGAAAGTCACCAGTTTCTGAAGTATGGTCATAACCATGATAAACAAAGCTAGGACAATTGATATGTACAGGAACTGATAAAAGATTTTCAGCTCATTTGGTTGCTTAACAACCTTCATTGCGCGAATTGTATAGACAAAAACAACAGATAATGCAGCGGGAAGCCAGGCTATAAGAAGAATAAGAGCCTTAGAATCATTTCCATAGACAGCCAAATAGATTTGTGTCAAAATGGCACCACTTAATCCAGTAAAACCCTTCAGTAGACCTAACATAACTCCCCGGCTTTCGGGGAAATTTCTAACTGAAGTAACAAGAGCACCTGTATTGGCAAAATTCTGAGAATTGGCTCCAAGGCATATATAAATGCACATCTGCCAAACTTTAGGCTTGGCAAGTTTGCCAGTTACAGCAAGCCATATCATAAAGTAGCCAGCAAAATTCATGGCTGAGCCAATTAATAGAACAAACCATGTTGGAGTTACTTCAGCAATTAGGCCTGAGAAGACTCCAACATTTGCACCAAGATCCTTGAAGAAGCCTAAGAGATTGAGAGTGGTTTGATCATATCCAAGAGAAGCCTTTATCTCCTTGGAGTAAACTCCAAAAAGATATGTTGCCCCAGCTCCAGCCATGATAAGGAAAGAGGCAAAAAGAGAGAACCACCGGCCTCGAACCACATGAACGGAGAAACGGAGCAGTCCACTGACTCCACCAGTGCTGGTGATTGGTGATGATGCTTCACCCATCTTTGCTGTTTTGTTTACAGAAATTGACGAAAAATCAGAGGAGAAAACTTATTTATATAGTGGTTAAACATCTTTGCTGTTTTGTTTACAGATTTCCCATACATGGTTGCAATTAGGAAAAAAAAAAATAGAGGAAATTACAAAAAATGTCAATTAGCAATAATGCTGTGGGTACACTTTGGTGAACGTTCAATTTCACAGTCCTATCACAAAGGGGTTGGGGCCGTGATTTTTAAAGTCGCGGGTCCCACCCTATTGTGAGAGGACTGTTATCCATCAGGCAGACTCTAGCATTTCTCTGCAATTATTTAGGTTTATCTGAATAATAAATGATAAGCTACAATACCAATGCTCACCACTTGCTCAGATAAAAGTGGTCAAACCTCCTCCAATTAGGCCATGTTTGATGCCTAGATTTTTCATGGACTTTTTGACTGTTTGATGATAATAATTTTTTAGGGAAAAATTTTTCCCCCCAACCTCCCACGGGCCTTCTTTCCTTGTTTTGGCTGTTAATTTTTTTTTTTTTTTGACAATAAAAACAAATGTCATAATCAAGTGAAAAAAAATTTCACTTTAATTGACAATTTTCATGTGAAACAAAAAGTTAAACAAACACTAAATTTTGATAAAAAAAAATGATTTTTTAGTAAACAATTTTTTCCCTTTTTTTTTTTTTGACTTTTTGGCAATGAAAACAAATTTTATAACAAATTGTGGAAAAAATTATCACTTTAATAGACACTTTCCATGTAAAATAAAGTCAAACGAATAGAAAATTTAAAAATTTTCCCGGTGAAAAATTATATCAATCAAACACACTTAATTACCAATTCCCTGTAAAATANCCCCCCCCCGGTACAAATATAATTTACCTATTTATGCAGTCATGTTCTCCTGCACATGGTTGGGCAGAGAACATTTGCCCACAGTTGACGTAGAATGATTTTTTTCCCCAACTTCTCGTTCTTTTTTCCCCGCCCGCCCGCCCGCCCGAATTATCACCCCACCCCTTTATGCAATGATTTCTTTTTTTTTTTCAACTTTTCGTCCGCCCCGCACCCCACCCCAACCCTTTATATATAAATGATTTTCTTATTTTTGTCACAATTTTCGAGGTCATTACGGGATATCAAACGAAGTCAAAATATTACATTTTTAATATTATATCGGAGTGCTCACAATCTAATTTCACTCATCTCTAACGGCATGCTAAACGGTCACAGTAACAAAAGTTAGCACTCGTTGAAATAAGACATTCCCAAAATATTTAAATGATTTTTTTTATTTTTGTCTCAATTTTCGAGGTCATCACGGGATATCAAACGAATTATAAATATTGCATTTTTAATATTATATCGAAATGCACACGATCTAATTTCTCACATCTCTAACTGCGTGCGAAACAGCCAATCGTATCAAAAATAAGGAAAATCGTTTATATATTTTGAAACGGCCAACTGTAGCAAAAATAAGGAAAATCGTTGAATGATAACACGGTTTTTTTGCTATGGAATCTATTGATGATAAGAAAATTGGCAAAATTATGTTTTTTTTATTATCCACTTTAGTTGAGTCAAATATTAAAGTATTTTTAAAGATGTCAAAAGTATATCGATATTAATCTCATTTTAAAGTCCACGTTAAATAAAGTATGTTAGGCTCGAAAAAAAATATTTTCCAACTAGTTAAGCTCGAGTTATCGCTATTTAAAGAAACATATAATTTTTTTAAATATTTTATTAATAAACTTTTGATTTATCTTGATATTTACGTACAATATGGGGGTAGGTACCTACGTTGGAGGAGGGTGGGGGCTGAAAAAGTTAGGGGCATGTTGAATTTCATTTTAACCACTGCTTATGTGACAAATGCAGTGGGTAAAGTATTTGCCACATAAGCAGTGGGTAAAGTTTCTCCTACCCACCGGGGTAGGAGAACGGGGCTGTATATTTATGTTTTTGAGACGTGACTATATGCATCACAGAATAAGACGACCACCAAGCCACGGTATACATTAAGTTATTTACAATTTTTTATGTGACAAAATTAAACAATATTTGTCTAATTTTTCGTGAAACTTAGACTTTATAAAATATTATAAATTGTTAAGATTGTCATGTCAAATCATCAAGAAAATTAATTAATATGGAACATACTTTGATCCATTGATTTGTATCTTGAATAATAAATATTGAATTTTGATATTCAAATCTTGATTTCTTTTTCTTCAATTTAATTGTTTCAATCTTTTTTTTTTTAATTCTCGATTGTAATTCTCGATTGTGAGTTTTTTATCTTCATTTTCAATATGTTTTCTCCATTAATTATTGTGTTGATGGGATGACGCAAAGAATGAGAATTGTATAAGAATTGGAGGCCATAACATTATATATAGTTTACATATATATCCGGCCCTTCGTTAAATACAAACTCTAATGGATCCGATCTCTACATATATAATCCGGTCCACACTTATGTTACCTTATAAATGTGTAAAACCTTATGAACTCAAAATTTTTGCTATCAAACTGATCAAGTGTGAATGTGTAGCATGAAAATTACATGCAATGTGATCCAAATATGTCTATTTCCAACTGGTCCTAAATTATTCTTTAATGAGATCAACCATAACCTTTAATCAGAGTGGAACAAAACTGAATACCTTATTTTTGAAATAAACCGAATATCCATGAATAAAAAAAAATGTGTCTAAAACAGACAATATTAGAATACAAACTCTCACTAAATTGACATATCATCAAAAGAAGCAATATCCATGTGAGTATTATGCTCATGAAATACCTTGAGTGGTAGCCATTTAGTAAATGGATACATGATCATGGAGTTTGTCTTAATGTGCTTTATAGAAACTTAACCACTCCAAATTCTTTCCTTGATAATTAGGAACTTAATGTTTATGAACTTTGACATCATCAAGCTTTGTTGGAATTCAAGATTGTTATTATTACAGAATAACTAAAGTGGTCTTTTAAATCTATCCAAAATATGCAGTTTAGTGACAATATTTTGCAGTCATATTCCATTATCAGAATATCCAATGATCTTCAATTGGTTTGAATTTTCCTGAATGTAATAATTTAATCATTAGTTCTCTTTAGATACAGAATAACATAATCACTGCTTTCCAAATTTTCATCCCAGAGTTTATTAAATATCAATCTAACATTCCAACAATGAATTTTATATCAAAATATGTGCAAACCTAAATATACATTAAAGTCATAATTGTTGAAGCACAAGGAATTTTGTATATTTTCCTTTATTTAAGTTTATCTTTGTGGGAAGGGGGGGCATTAATTGTGGTTAAACTTTTCTCCCTTAGGAATTGAGTATCATCTGATTTACATACATGTATCTCAAATCTCTTAATAACTTTATTGATATAACTCTTTTGTGATAATAAAAAATACATCGAGAACGATTCCTTTAATACAAAAGAGGCGTATCCAAAATTTTTCATTTCAAAATTCCATAACAGACATATCATGGTTTCGTGCAATAAGCTGATATTATTGCGGCAAGCAGTATGTCATTGACATACAACACCAAAAAATATATTTACTTTCACTGAACTAGGGATATATACAATCATCATCTGAATTCATTTCAAAATCAAATGATATAATTATTTAATGAAATTTGTGATACCATTATGGGAAACCAGCTTAAACCAATAAAATGATTTCTTTAATTTGTAAACCATCTTACGTAACTTAAGATCAAAATGTGTCACAAATGCCATAATTATCCCAAAAGAGTCTTTCATAGAAATCGGAGAAAAAATCTTTTTAATGTCAATACCTTCCTTTTAAGTAAAGCTATTTGCAACAAGACGAGCTTTATATCTTTCCATATCACCATTCAAATCCCTCTTGTTTTTAAATATCCAATTACAACCAATGGGTTTCGTACATTCAGGCAATAAGATGGGTTCTCAAACGTCATTGTTACTTATGAATTTTATCTCTTTATACATGATATCAATCAACTCTTTAGAATTATTCATTTACATGGTTTAATGAAAGTTGATTGATCAGTTCTTTTTCCATCAATCCATGACATCCTTATTTTCCAGGAGAAAGACTATAAAGTCATCCGAAATTGCATTTCTCCTTTTATAGTGGATTTCTTAATGACATTTGTTCTTGAGTTTGTTGAGTTTATTTTTTTGGAACAATTTCTTGATTGTGTATAGGAGATTTTGTAATATTGTCTTGATCAGAAATTGTTTCTTGAATAAAATCTAGAGCAGGAATTTATGCTTGATCCTGATCATTGTCAATTGCAACAGAAGAAATATACATATTCTTCCTTCAAGGCAAAATCCTTAACATTATAATCTTATCTCCCCCCGTAAACTCTACATCCTCAAATAATCAGACATTTTTCGTTTTGAAAATTGGCCTAATAGTGAATTTAAAAAAAAAAAAAACAATTGTAACCCCTTAACAATTGTTTTACTTAAAACTCTGTTGAGAATTTAAATTGCAATCTTTAGTGCTTCTACCAAGAGAGATTTTGATGTATTGTGGGACAATTCCATATTCCTCTAGAAATTTAGCAAAAGGTCGTGGACATTGTTATCATGATTCGTCATATTTGTCATAATATTCACCACCCATGATAAGATTTGACTTGTAAAATTCTTTTACGGAGTTATTTTTCAACACCAGCCTTGTATGTCTTAACATGTCCAGTATTTGAAATTTCTTTTAGATGAGATATAGATAGCCATAGTGAGAAAAAAATTCATCTATGAACACAATAAATTATTGTTGACCATTCTAAGAAGTCAAATTAAATGACCTACAAATATCCGTATAAATTAATTTTAAGACGTTTGAAATCCTATTGGCACATAATCTCCTTATGTCTGTTTGTTTTTCCTTAATGTAATTAACATAAACACTGAAGTCTTAAAAAGTAAGGGAATCAATATTTCCTTTTGACACAAGATTTTTCACTCTCTTTTGAGA